CCGCTTTACGCAGCCCCTCTTCCTTGAGCAATTGCCATTTTTCTTGCTTCTCCTTGCCTTCTTCTCGGCCAACTCTTTCTTGATCTCCAACGTCTTCGCTAACATCAACTCATTTGATTACACCATGACATCAATCTTCTCCCTCAAGCTCGACGCTTCGTGCTCTCTCTTCATCTTCTCCTTAGTCTTCTTGTTGCCATCGGGCTTGTTAAAGTTTCTTGGGCCATCATCATCCTCATCTTCATCTATGTTTGTAAGTGAAACTCTCTTCGGTGGGGATTCTTTGCCAATCAACTTCCACTTCTCACACTCTTTGAGCAAGTCCCAACAATGCTCTAATTCGAAGAATTTGCCTTCCGAAGCTTCCATGCATGTCTTTGTATCTATGTTGGGCAATTTTGTTCTACATAATTTGAGCAAAGTCAAATGATGCAATCATTTCATGTGATGCAATATGATGTGCACAACTTGAACAAAGTCAAAACGAACTCACATAGTCGGATTCCACGGTTTCACTTGGAGGTGCATTGCGTACTTGCTCCAAGCAAGCTTCCCAACAGTTGCAAATAGGCTTGATCGCATCCCAACGCCCTTGAAGCGACCGAAAGGTGCGTGAAGTCCTATTGGGATACTTTGCCATCATGCGGAAGTATTGATCTTCGATCCTTTGCCAATACCTCTTGGCGGTTTGAGAAGTACATGTGCATGCATCAAGCAGGGACACCACACTCCATGCCTTGATCAAGATTTGATCTTCCAAGATCGTGTAGTTCTTCGATCTCTAGCTTTTTCCACTTTTTGTTTGCGATTTCTCATACGCCCCCTCATCGATCTCCTCCACTTCTTCTTCACCACCATGATCATCCACGCCGCCCTCCGTTTTATTGTAATCGAATGTGGCAAACGGGGCTTAATCGATGTCAACAGCGTTGGTGTCCAACAAGTTCACGAACTCGGCAGTTCCATTGTTCAAACCACCGCTATAATGAACGACAACAAGTCACGAGCTATCGCAAATGGCGAAAAGCAAAGAAAATTGCCATGACCGAAGACGCCTACCTTCCGGCCATTTCGTCAAACACCCCGCTTGCGGTGGGAGCAGTACCGTTGAGCGGCATCGTCGGGGAACCTCTTTCCGGGGCGGAGGGAGTGGATGAAGGAGCCGGCTTCTTTGTAGCCGGAGTCCTCTTCCGCTTTACGCCGGAGACCTTGCCGACCTTCTCTGCCGCCAGCCGGGATCGCGCAGCGGCGTTGGCGCCCGGAGCGCGGGCCTTCGCGGCGGTGGCAGCCGGATTCCCGCACGACCACGTTGCCCTGCCGCTTGCGGGCACTGTTCAAGATATCTTCCGATATGCCGATAAATCGGCCGATTTATCGCTTACCGTTGTCAAACCGATAAGATAAATCGGCCGATAAATCAGCCGATATGGCGATAAATCGGCCGATATGCCGATAAACTGGCCGATTTACCCCTTATCATGGGTCGACCGATAAGTTCCCGATAAGCGATATCCCCAACATTGCTTGCGGGTAGGCGCAATGGTGCCTTGGGCGACGGCGGGGCCAACATGGCCGGCGACGAGATCTGCCCGAGGGGATTGAGCGTGCGTGACCACGATGGTGTCAGGGGACAGCAGGGAATCATCCATGGTGGTGAAGGACTGCCTAGGAAGATGCACCGGAGCGGGAGGTGGCGAGGCAATGGTGGTGGGGGGAGCGGGAATGGCCGCGCGGAAATGTCCCTGCCGCCAAATCTTGCTGCGGATAGGGACCGAGCTCGGGTCATCCTCCCGCCCCGTGAATCTAGAGATCGAGGAAGATCTTTTGCCGCGCACCGCAAAAAATTTTACGTGTCGGACGCATATGCGGTGTCTGGTCGGGCAGGTTTTTCCGTACCGACCCGTATTTTGACGGTTATTTTCGGATCGGAGCGGGATACGAGGTCTGCTAGAGATGCTCTTATATATCCTTTGAGACCCGAGCCCTCAGAGAAACTAGATTCCAATCTTCTGGTCTTGCATGCAGATGTTTTGTTGGTCAAAGCGCTTCAGTTCCAGTTCGTACAGATTACTCATATTATGAGTTCCAGGATTTTTTTTTACTTTTAGTATATGTTGACTTATGTTCTCTTGCGGTGTGCACACTAATTAACTGAAAAACCTTATGGCGTACTATTTTTTTTACATGTGTGATGTATGTAAAGTTAGTTTCTGTTATAAAAAATTGTCCATCAGCTAACTGAATCAGAGGAGAATTTATGAAAAGTGAACCAGCAGACGAACCGTAGTAATTCCAAGCTAATTATATAACTTCATCCCACTGAACTTCGATGTAAACTGGTCTTTTAATTCTCATATCTTGGAATTTAAAAAAATAGAAAAAGAGAAAGACTCCCGGCCTCTGCATCTGGATGATGCATGCAGCCACTTTATTAATTACTCACAAAAATCCTTACAAAGAAATACAACATTAAGTTTGAAGTCATCGTCTAGGCAACATCTGTCGCTACTCATATCAGTTGATAAAGGGATGCTAATAGTCCGGGCTTAATATCGCAGACCTCGCAGTTAAGCCTAACATCCAAGACCTGAGGCCCCAACCTAGCCACTTGTCGGGTCTGGGGCACACACCGGTCTGGCGCGCTCTCAGAGGCCCCCGCCAACTGAACCGCTCCATCTTCGGAACTGTACTGATGCATCAGCCTTGCTCGGTCTAGCTGTCGTCGATGCCACAATGGCGCCCAACGGCACCACCTCCCTACGCGTGAACATCTGAGCACATCGAGGTCGCCACCAATACACCTTAGCATCATTCCGCCAAGTACCACCAGCCGATACAGTTTGAAGTCTTTGGAAGATCTGTCGTGCTTAGCACCTGTCGACCAGGCATGACAAAGCGTAGCACCTGTCGGTCAGGCATGACTTGGCATCTCCATCGAAACTCCGTGTAAGACGAAGCCGCTCCACCTCCTGCCTCTGACTTCTAGCGCTGCTCCACAAACTATGCTCCCAGGAGAGAAACGACACTGCAGTGCCACCATCGTCCGATCTGAAACACCAGATCCTAGGGTTCCCCCGGAGCAGCACGAGTGGGGCGACAATAGTTACACGACAATGCCTTCATCAAGGTAACGGCATAGAACGCCGCCATCGCCTGCTGTCAGCTCGGTTTTCACCGGCAACCATGTCTCCACAACTCGCAGCTCGGACTAGATGATGGATCTCGAGATCCGACCACCCAGCTTGTTGCCGGCCACCTCCGACGAAGAAGATGACCACCACCACTAGCTACACCGGCCAGAACAGATCTGCCCGAGGTGCCGCCGAGCAGTCCACCAGGCCCTCGACGTCGTCGCCGATCTAAAGCCCGATGACGCGCCGCCGCCCGATCCAGGCTAGCTGCCGCAGGCAGGCGCCCGTGGCCCGAGGCAGGGCCGACCACCACCGCCGTCATCAAAGCCATCGCCGCCGCTTCTAGATCGGCCACATCTCCACGCGCGTTGAGGACCCCAACACCCCTGAGACGCGGGAGAGAGGAGGGACCCCCGCCATCGACGTCGGCCTCCGGCCGCGGGCCGGCGGCGTCCTCCGGCGGCGGCGGGAGGAAGGG